CTCATGACTTGTATGTGCCTGAACCATGCTAGCAAATGTAGAACAGTTTTTGGTTTTTCTGAAATGATACCAGCATGAAAATGTTCTTTGGGTTTTAAAGTACCTGATAACATGGAGTTTCTGGCAGCATGTAGGAACCATGGGTGAGAGCTTCCACCAAGAGAGAGCTGTCATTGAATGAGTAGTTCAATAAGGATTCAAAATATCTGACATTCACAATCCTCTCTGGCTCTATGCTTAAAAGCCTCTTATTGGGTATTATATCAAAATCCACCTTTATTCCAATCCAATCTATGAACTTCAAAGCCGCTTTCTCTCCACCCTTGCTCAGGAAAGCCCCAATTAAGGCTTCAACAACATCTGCAATTATCTTATGTTTTATTTTTCTATTCCCACTAACATACATTCTTGTCATATCAGAGGCCAACTCCTCTTTTAAAGTAACATTTCTAGATCTGTCTCCTGGTATAATCCATTTCTTTGGATCAAAAGGGCTGCTTCGTATGAAGCCCTGCAATTAAAAAGGAACCATTTTCAGGATACAGTACAACACACAAGCGGATTTTTACATTTCTTTGTTAAGGTGTTCTATGAAAAGAGAGAATACCGGAAGGTTAGAGTTGCGCCCTAACCTACAGAGGGCAGCATTAGATATCATCTTGTCCTTCTTCGTGCTAAGAAGCCCTTCGGGATCAAATGGATAGGTTAGATAAAGATGCTGACCAACAGCATACTTAAGGAAAGAATCGCCAAGAGTCTCTAGAGATTCATAATGAAACTGCTCTTGGCATTCTTTTGCAGTAATTGCTTCCAAGATCTACATAGCATATAGCAAATGTCCATTAGTGCAGGTATATATATCTAAGACAAAATAAAATTCCACCATTAAGATATAATGAAGGCAGTGAGTAAGAGATAGAGAAGTTTACAGTAGACATTATGTGAAAGTCAAACCTTCTGAAACAATGAAATGGCAAACAGAATAATCCATCAAACATCTTTAAGCAAATAATTACATTCATATTGAGAAGTCAAAACGCAGTTAAACCAAAAGATGCTAACATGGAAAATTCACATCATATCAAGAGTGTCACACTATTGTTTAGTAATCTGATTAATCTCTTTTTAGCATACCGGTTAAGACTTGTTTGAAAAAAGAGGCCGAAGCAGTTCTTATGCTTTGGTTACTAGTGCCCTGCTTTTATCATTGTGTTCGCCCTTAAAACTACTTCTCTATTTGGTCCATTAAAAAAAAAAAATTTCCATAAACCATTAATCTTCAAAAACATATATTCCTTTCTTCATCATATGGATAGCTAATGAGCCTCAGTAGAAAGACATGAAATTTTCAATCCTTGGCAGAACATGGAAACATAACTACTATAATTAGATCATGATAGTTCATTTTGACGGCAAAAGAATAGTAGCTTACCTTGAATGTTGGAATATCATTTTGCTTGCACATCTTTTTCAAGTTGGAAGCCAAAAGTAATGACTCGAGCCGATCTATTATTGATGGAACGAATGAGAAAGAATATATTGTGCTTACTGATATGGGTGACATAAAAATCGTGCACAGTTCAGGAGGCAATTCAACCGAAGCCTTGGTTGATTCTGAAAGAAAAAATACATATATATATTCAGCAGCACATAAAGAGAGAAATGATACTAATACTGGCCACTATTATCTTTCATTGCATAGAGTCATATGGTAGGGTTGAACCTCAATTTTTACAAAAATGCTCCTTATATAAAGAAAGAGTTGAAACTTTTTTTTGGGGGGGGGGGGGGGCTAAAAAAAGCTTTTGCACTTATTTCATAAACCTTCCCACACAAGACAATTAACAATTATGAGTCCAAAAACAAGAATCAAAATACAAACCTCTCTCCTTCGCTTGTCTGCTTTTGAGACGGTAATTTTTTACGTGAAATATATGCCTTCCATTATATAGCTGTTGGTTTTCATAACTCAAATGGATTCCATACCTGAAATGGAGGATAAGGGATGAGAATATATCAGAATAAAACACCCACTGAGAAATGTTAACTTGAAAACTAGACCACAGCAACAAATATATTATCATACTTTTCTTCAAAGTATTTCTTGTATGTCATTGCTTTGCCATCCCTGAGACTGAGCAGAGAGTTTCCATCCAATTCCATTCTATCAGTGATGATATAAAAATGACCATTATGAGGAGTATAGACCAATGAATTCTCAAGTTTGCATGAGCAAACTACATCATCTTTAGTCCATACATTAGAAACATGTTTGGTGCAACCTTCTTTAAATGAGAACACAGAAGTAACCGAAGGCCAATCAATGGTCAAAGGTCTCATATGGATGAAAGTGGCTGGAAGTAGAAGATAATCCATCTCAGGATTATCTCCCAAATAGAGTTCATTTAAAATGCCCATCAGCTTATCCAAATTATAATGAAAAAGAATCCCAAATACAGCGATCTGGAATTTTCTGCACAAGAGAACCTGAACGGGGAAAAACATACATTAACTGCATTAAACTTTTGTAAGACTTGCTATTATATTATACAATACAGACAGAGATCAAGGTGGCATACCTCATTTAGGCCAAGGTTTATTGTTCCAATGTATTTAAACTTCACTGTGAGACTCCCTCGGTTAATACACATTTTAAATTCCATTGACCTGATAACTTCTGGGTCAAGCTCACGCCTTATGGCAAGAACAACATCACGAGGTGAGACATCATAGGTAAAATCTTGTTTCAACTCTATTAAATAGCAGTGATACACTGTGTTGCCATGAATGCGTGAAAATCTGTTGACCAATTCAGAAGGGATATAATGAGGTTGCTCCTCATTAGAAGATTCATTCACTGTAAAAATCAGATAAATGGTCAAACAAAAAGGAAAGCAAAATAATTTCATCTTGGATTATCATCACATTAGTAAAAAGATATAATAGGCGTAAAAAATTACCAAATTCTCGCCCCAGCTTTGTTTCCATGACAGTCTCAGGGACAAGATTGCCTATCAAAGCTCCAAGCTTATGAAGTTCTCCGCAATTTCAAATGGGTGACGGAAAATGCAGGTGAAAAACTTGAAGAAACGAAAGTAAGAGAAAGAGAGACTACAAGGCAAGCAGGCACAAGGCAAAGTTCTCTGAAACGAAAGTATAAATACTACACAGGCCATTGGCTCTGCTTCTTACGCAAGTTAACTTTGAAGTTAAGGAGACCCCACAAGTACTGGTTATCGCTTTCAGAGAGAAGGAAACCGATAAATACAACCGGGCAGATGGGCCAGTCTCACTCTCAAGGGAAGTTCTCTGAAGCAAAACTTCATGCATGTACAGGTTAACTTTCTGTAACCATGCAAAGTTTTAACTTTCTCTGAACCCAAAAAAATTGTTAAGTTCATATATATTTATTATTATTGTTATTATTTTGCCAGCAGTTAACTTCACATATTATTGGCATATAATAATAGTAGTAGTAATAACTATCGTCAGAAAGGATACCCGGAAGTCGAAGGATGGGAGAAGTCCGCTGGTGGCAGTTACTACGCAAGTCTTGAAAACTACGACGTCACGGGTCTCAGAAACGTTCAAAAATACTACATCCTCCTAATCATAAGATCTTATTTGTAGTCTACAAATGAGATCTTATAATTAGAGGGAAAGAAAAGCAAATAATCTATTTAATACTACTCCGATCCTTAATATAAGAGTTCATTTAATTTTTATTTTGATCTTAAATATAAGATCTCAATCCACTTTTTTTATATTTATTTATTTTTTTAAAATAATCCTTGATGTTAGTTCTAGTCATTACACTTGATTAACAAAATATTTAAAAAAAATACTTATTTATTGCAAATAACTAACTTAATTAGTTTTTTAATTTATTCAAATTAATCAACTAGCTTTATATTAAGGATTGGAAGTATTAAAACGTAAAAGCCGCAATTTGCCAACTTTCAAAAAAAAAAATTGAAGAAACACTCATTTTAAAGAATTAGCACCTATAAAATAAATGACGTGTTTATTGTAAATTTATAGCAAAGTTTATCATAATAATTAATACAATACAAAATTAAAAGCCATGACATTATATTGCTTAAAAATTCATCAAAAAATGTCAATGACCTCTTTTTTTTTTTTTTTTGGTCAGATCAATGACCCCTAATGACATGAAATTTTCACAGTGAATAATTTTATTTACGTCATTACCGCATCATTCTCTGAACGAAAAACGGGTGCAAGTCTCTTTTATCCTCATACAGAATGTATCACTTTGGGAATTTCAATGACTTGTTTAATGGATACAAATTGGAAACCAGACCTTGCGAATATTTTGATCGCCTCGTTTTCTTTATAAATTGCTTCTAACATATTTTACACAAGAAAAATTTTAAACTTTATTAGCTCAGTTTTAAAATTCAACAATTTTCTATTTAATATAAAATATATTTCATGTAAACAAAATTAAAATTGTATATTTATACAAAAAAATTTTCTTAGTACCCTATAAATAGGACAAAAAAAAATCTTCTCTCTTTATTTATAAATAAGACCAAAGAAATAGTATTTATATTTTGTAAGGATTGTTCTATTTATATATGAAATTTTTCATTAATAATAAGATAAATAAATTAAGGATCAGAGATAGTATAATAAAACACTAAATGGCGACCAAAAACACACAGACCAAGTAGCTCATATTTGCCAGAAATTTTTATTCTTTCCAAAAGTACTCATAATTAAATAAAAAAAATACTCATAATTAAATAAAAGTGCCTTTAAAAAGATCATTTATTAAGGAACTACCCACAAAAGCAACCTATAAATTACTAAATCTCAAATCATGAATTTAATTTCACTGGATTTCACTTGCCACAGTTTATTTAAACGTCGCAAAAAGCAGTACATAAGGATCTATCAAAAATCAGAATTCCATAAATTATGAGACCTTGCTAGCTAGCCAAATCAGAATTCCATATTATATACCCTTCCTGGTTTCCTCATGCAGAATTGGTGTTCTTCAAGGACGTCAAAATTTCCTTGCAAGCTAGCTTTTTTGCTGTTTTCTTGTGGTCAGCTGTACAGGTTTCCTGATAAATTTTTCCATTAGCTAGAACCCTCATTGTGACACAAGTCAAGCCATTGTTTGCGGACAACAATGCCTTTTCCATTATATAATGTTGTTTACTGCAAAGTTCTTGCAACTCACGAACAGGATGAATCTGTACAGTATCAGGTGTGACCAAAGGTTCCAAGAGAGGCATGATGCTTCTGCGCACAATCTCTTTGTTGAATCCAGAGTCCACCATAATTGCTCCAGCCAGAGACTCTATGATGTCCCCAAGTACCTATCAATAGTAAGAATATTAGTTACAGGTAGTATAGGATCCCAAATACCTTTGCAACACTGGAAAAAAAAACAGATTGCATCTTAAAGGAACATGAGTTGTATGTTTGAAAAGCATTAATAGTAATCTAATCTTCTGGTCCTTAGCCACCAACATTACGAGTTCTGGATCCCAACATAAATTTGAACCACAAATTAGATCTTATATTAAGAACCAGAGGTAGTAATATTCGAATAGATGTACAAGAAACACTGCTGTGACAGTAATATGAATAAGCATACATTCAAAACCAGGACATTGCTTTAAGATCGATGAACTGAATAGTGATGGCTAACCTTGGGGAAATATGTCCTTGTCTCCCATCCATAAGTTGGTTCAGAAGACAGCTTTTCAAAATCCTTTATTGTAGCAACAATATCCCTATGTAATTCTTGAGAAGCATGGAGTATGTGTTTGTGTAAGTCAGCCTTAATGGCAGACCGAGCATAACAATCGTTATTTACAGAAGCTGACCTCATGTCAGTCAACAACCCTGGAGACAAGCCAGGATATTTATTGTACAGATGCTCAGTAACAAGAAAATCCAACACAGAATCCCCAAGAAATTCTAGTCGCTGCAGGGAAAATTTGTGTATATTAGTTAATAATTTTGAATAGCAAAGAAACAAAAAACGAGCAAAAATATAGTGACTACTAATCATGGGATACATCAAATCTTCCATAAGATAGGCTGATACTAAAGGAATGAGCCTGAAATTTTGCTATTCATAGATCCATAATCATACGCAAGTGTTTTCTTTTGGTATGATAAACTAATAATAATAGCTATCTCAGTTGTCGGAAGATGATGTTTGACTAGCATATTTAAGCGTCTCAAGCAGACTTTGGGAAACTTCAGTTCAGCCTCAGTTATCTTACGGTCAATTTCAAAGGAAAAGTTAGATCCAACCGTTCTATGAATAGCATGTTTCTGAGCCATACCAGCAAACAAAGTACACTTTCCAGTTTAGCTAAAAAGATACTGACATTAAAATCAAACAAAAAAATGCAGCACTTATGAGATACCTGATAACATGTTGGAATTTCTGGCAGCATGTACGAACCATGCGTCAGAGCTTCTACCAGGAGGGAACGGTCATTGAACGAATAGTTCAACAACGATTCCAGAAATCTGACATTTACAAGCTTCTCTGGATGTATAATTAAATTCGTCTTATTGGGTGTAATTTTAAAATCCACCTTAATTCCAACCCAATCCATAAACCTGAAAGCGGCTTTCTCTCCGCCAGTGCTAAGGAAAGCCCCAATCAAGGCTTCAACAACATCTGCGATGACTTTAGGTTTTATTTTTCTATTTCCATTAACATAAATCTTTGTCATATCAGATGCCAGCTCCTCTGTTAAAGAAACACATCCAGATCTATCTCCGGGTATAATCCATTTGTGTGGATCAAAAGGGGAGTTCCGTATGAAGCCCTGCAACAAAAAAGAATGAAAATTCTGAATTAAAAAAGAAAAGGAATCACTTTCAAAATACAAGTACATTTTTTTTTTTAATTCTTTCAAACGTGAACTCTGGTTTCAACTGAAAACTCAGATCGGCTCAAATAACTATCACTGAGCCAAAGCTTAATGGTGAAGCAAATACAGTTTTATGGTCAAGTGTGACTTAAGAAACTCAACAATTCAGAAGAGATGATATAATAACACTACCGTAACCAGCCTTGCAAAAAAATAATGGGGCTCTTCTGCCTGAGACCGAGGAATCAGAGTCACAGGCCTTTAACTAGGATAAAAAGTCTTAGTCCTGGGAAGGCTACCATAGCCTTTCATCAGGCGTATAGGAGCTAGGAATAGTCATGAATATTTAGCAAAAGATTAGGAAACAGGCTCCTGAGGGATGTTCCTGACTTGATAGCAAGTACTAGTTAAACAATGCAATTTAACCCCTCTAACAATTTAACCCGTCATCTTCACCTGATTTTTTTTTGTGTTAAAAAAAAAAAATCATCTAATGTCGAGTGATGGGATTGTATTAATGTTACTTGAATTGTATACTTGACGTATAGAATCATAGCTTTACGGTTTAACTATGATTTATTATGGAACTTAGGATTTAGAGTTCATCAAATAAGACATCGCAAAGATAATGGGATTAGGATTCTATTTTCTATTTAAAAATAAGGACCTCAAGGGTTTTAGCTTTGAATTCCTAATTCTAGTAGAATCGGATTCATTTCAGTTGGCCATGCTAGGCTTGCTTTGTATGCGATTGATTTCAGTATTCACATTGACATTTTATTAATTTGACCTTTTTTTTTAATATTAATCTCTACTCATGTTTTGTCCCATTTTCAGTAAGCTAATATAAAAGATAATCTGTCAACACAACTATATGCAAAGCAATCAACCACCAACCAAATATATCAAACCTTCTACTTTTATCAAACTGAAATAAAGCCGTGCATGAAATGTTGAGCCCCTTATTATTCTCCAATCACGTTGCACTAGAAGTTGTATTTTCCATTTGGTACCACTTCATAAATCGGGTAGTTAATTATGTCAAGAAAATAATATTTCCAGACCAGGATAGAAACCTTAAAGGTTAAAACCCAAAAAGGGAAATATTTACCCCTGTACGTGAAAAACAGTCAGAATCCTCTATAATCACTCTGTGAAGGATGCATTCAAAGAGACATGAAGAGAAAAATATGAATTAGTTTAATTATGAAATATGAGCCACTTACACAGCCAAATTATCTTGTGTCATTTTCTCCCTGAATGCACAAGTGCATGAATAATAAGGATCCAAAGTCATATGCGAAATACTGGTAGACAGTATTGTAAATGATAAGAATCAAAATAGAAAAGACAAAAGTTGGGAAAGGAAGAATACAGTAAGTCCACGGCTGCACCCAAGCTTCCTGAGGGCAGCATTAGAAATTATCTTGTCCTTCTTCACACTGAGTAGACCTTCGTGATAAGTTGGATAGATTTGATAAAGATACTGGCCAGCAGCATATTTGAGGAAAGAATCTCCAAGAGTTTCTAAGGATTCATAATGAAATGATTCTTGGCATTTTTTTGCAGTGATTGCTTCCAGGATCTACAATGCACAAAACAGATACCAATAGGACAAGGATATCATCAATAAAATTGAACGAAGACAACAAAGTAAGATATACAAGGGAAGTAATATTCCGTAATCATGGTACAATGAAAGCATGAGGAAAAGGTGAAGGTTGCCTTGAACATGCATTATATCTAATTCAAAACTTCTAAAACGACAATGTGGCAAACAGAATTATCCACCAAGCATCTTCAAGCAAATAAAATATACACCCATATGGAGAAGACCAAACACAAATAAACCAAAACAAAGATAGTTCACAAGATATGAAATTGATGAATGTGTACGACATCTTTTAGCAATCTAATTAAACTCATTGTGTATTGACTGGGACATGGTAAAAAAAAAAAAAAAAGGAGGCCAAAGTAGTTCTTTTACTTTGTTTATCCAGTGCCATAATTTTCCATTCAGTTGCCGTTAGAACAACTTATTTATAAAAAAATTAATGTAGACAAACATTCAGGTAGTTTATGAGTCTCAGCAGAAAGGCATGAAATCATCTTTCCTTGGAAAAAAACTGAAAATATAACTGTTCGAATCATATCATGATAATTTTTCACAGCAATAAAATAGCAGCTTACCTTGACTGTTGGGATATCATTTTGCATACACATTTTTTTCAAGTTGAACGCCACCAGCAATGACTCGAGCCGATGTATTATAGAGGGAATGAATGAGAATGAATATATTGTATTGATTGATATGGGTGACATGATAATAGAGCATAGCTCAGGAGGCAGTTCAACTGAACCCTTGTTTGATTCTGCAAAATATATATGCATATAGTAAATCAGCATCAGAGTATGACAAATGATATAAACACTGGCTTCAATTTGGGGTAAATTATAGTTATGATTTCACGGGCAAGAATAATTTCTTAGTCTGCAAAAATACTTTCATTATAAAGAAACCTTTTATGAAAAAGTTAAAATGTTGAAACTTTCTGAAAAAAGCTAAAAAAAAAGCTATGAATAGCTTTTGTACTTTTTTCATTGGCCAAAAGTTTGTTTTTGGGGATCCTCCTGCACAACTAACTTTTATGGGTAAGTCAAAGAACAAGATTCAAACCTCTTTCCTTCACTTGTCTACTTCTGTGAAGGTAATTTTGCACACGAAACATGCGTCTTGCATTATATAGTCGTTGGTGTCGAAAACGCAAATTGATTCCATGCCTGAGATTTAGGGTAAGGTATAAGATTATGTCTAAGTAAAAGAGCTGATGGGAAAAATCAACTTAAAAAGAACAAACATAGTCAACAAATATTAGCATACTTTTCTTTGAAGTATCTATTATATGTAGTAATTCTGCCATCACTGAGTCTTAGTGGAGAGTTTCCATCCAATTCCATTCTACCAGTGATGATATAGAAATGACCATTATGTGGAGTGTAGACCAATGAATTTTCTAGTTTGCAGGAGCAAACAGGAGCTTCTTTGGTCCATACGTTTGCAGCATGTTTGTTGCAACCTTCTTGAGATGAATATATAGAAGTAACAGAAGGCCAATCGATGATCAAAGGTCTCTGAGTTATGGTGGTGGCTGGAAGCAGAAGGTAATCAATCTCAAGATTATCTCCCAAATGGAGTTCATTTAAAATGGCTGTCAACTTGGCCATATTATGGCCCAGAAGAATTCCAAATACAGTGATTTGGAATCTTCTACACAAGAGAACCTGAAGAGAGAGAGAGAGAGAGAGATAACTACATTAACTTTTGTAACATTTATTATGATGACGGAAGCCGCAACAAGAGGACAAACATCATACCTCATTTAGGCCAAGATTTATTGTACCAATGTATCTGAATTTTACTATCAAGCCACCCTTATCAGTATGCATTGTATATTCCATGCCCCCAATTTCTAGGTCAAGTTCACATCTCATTGCAAGAACAACATCACGAACAGCAACATGATAATTGAATTCTTGCTTCAGCTCCATCAGATAGCAATGGTATAAAGTATTGACATCATGTGGAAAGCAGTTAACCAATTCAGATGGAACATAATGAGGTTGCTCCTCGTTATAAGGTTCATTCTCTGTGAGAATTAGATAAATTCCCAAACATTTACAACATAAAAATATAAGGAAAACTAAATTTCACTTTCAGTTATAAATTTTCTAGAATAACAATGAAAAGTAGGCATCATATTACCAAATTCTTCCATCAAATTTTTTTCCATAACGATATCAGGAACAAGATTATCTGTCAAAGCTCCATTTTTATGTAGTAGTTTACAGGCTTCAAGACAAGCAGTATTCTTTAAGGTTTTCTTGGAACCTTCTACGCAAACAGATGATATAGGGCAACTCTTAGGAAGAAGTAGCGTCCCAGTCTCTTTATCCCATCTAGGCATTGGTTTGAAGTACCTAGAAATAGATGAAAACCCAAATGTAGGATCAGCCATATCTAAGAGTCAAACACCAAATCTAAAAAATACTCCATAAAAATATGGAAACGCCTAAATTAGAGTTTAGGAAGATCAGCAATTAACTAACCCATCTGCAGGGAGCCGTGAACAATAAAGGTATATTAAACCAATACTAGAACTGAGATTCACAATCGCTCCAGTGCTTTCAACTTGATAAGTTTTCTTGTTGTCTATATCACTATCGAAGGGCTCACAAGGAAGGGAAGAATGACGCAAGCACTCCTTTCTCATAATTTCTCCAGTACTTAAGTACTTCTCCAATCGAGAACGCGTAGCCAAGTCCCCGCTGTATTGTAAAAATAAAACATGACATGAGAGCTATTCAGAGAAATTTTGCTCAACCAGAAAATCAAACCAAAACGTGCGTTATTAAAGGATCAGTAGAACATGTTTATTTGCAATTGTCTAGCTGTTACAGTCCCAAATAAACTTTTCGCATCTTGTCCAAATACTTGAGGATACTCAAAAAAAAAAAAAAAATTACCTTTCAACCATTAATATGTAATCAGAATTTTGAACTCTTGCTCGTCCTCGGGACTGAATGAAACTGCATACTGTGGCAGAGGGGTCAAATCTAATGACCAAATTACAACTTTGGACATCCAACCCCTCTTCTAGAATTGACGTAGCCACAATGATATTGACCTGCAAATTAAATACGTTGTATGAAATTAAATATAGTACTTTTTTATGACTATACAAATGATGGCACAGGTAACCATCATACCAAGCCCCTACGAAACTCTTCTATGATTTCATTTTGTTTTTTCCTTGTTTGATTTTGCAACCTTGAATTGTTTCCTGCTATGTACTTAGTCTTCCATCCATTATGTTTTGGGAGGAATTCTCTCAGAAGAGCTTCAAGAGCAATTGCAGTAATTATCCTCTCAACGAATATTATGCATCTCATATCATTGAAGCCCCTATTAATTGAATATTCATAGCAGACCAGTCAAAATCAACATCAATGGAATTACAAAACTACTATATACAATTAGAGATTAAAAATTAATCACATTCTATTAATTAACTACGTAATTGGAATTTCATAGGTTCTGTCACAATGTGAGAACACTAAGATCAAGTAAAACTCAACCAAACACGAGGAACAACATAAATAAACATACAGTAGCAAAGAACTAAAGATGTGGCCTAATTTTAATTTTTAAATGAAAGAACGAACGATAGAGATGATAAAAAATCATCCAAAAAAACTTTCACGTTTCAACAGGACATTGACCGAGAGAAAAACCCTCTGTCCATACATGAATATATGAGATTTCAAAACCACATTCAAATTCAACATATTTCATAAATAATCAATATAAGGGAACCTGTATTCAAGTAGACAGTCAGTAAGACAGAGAACTTTTGTGGTTAATAGGCCCACATCCACTTGTGACCTAATATCACCAACAGTATGTTGAGGACCTGAGCAAGAAAACATTTACAAAAATTTGATTGATAACAAGGAAAAGAATGTAAGCTAATGATTCATCGTAAATGTACTTATAGTCTCCAAGGCTAAAGTCACTACCAGTTGATATGAAAGTTGAAATAATGTCCAAAGCATGCAATGTAAATTTTCTAACAGTAGTCTGTCCAGAGGCATCCATACTTCCGTATGAAAATAATTCAGTTTCATTCGATGATAAGAATTCTGCAGCCTGCCACATAAAACAAACATATAGTGAAATGTTTCATGCAATCATGAACAGAAAAATGAAATCGGTGATAACTATGAGTACGTACCTTCAAAGCCAACAAAACACCTAACTCATCCAAGCAAAAAATTAAAGCTGAGAAAATCCTTGTTATTCTTTGGCATATAGACTCTGAGGCAGAACTAGTCAACTCTGACATTTCCACTGAGCATTCATACTAATGAAGAGCAAATCAACAGTCAACAACCTCAAGGAAGCAAATCAACAATCAAATGATCAAAATATCTATCAATGAAAGGTGTAAAACTGAATTTTGATTAGGTATTGGGTATAAGAACATGACAGGATTGTCGGAATTGCCAATTCCTTATCCATAATTTCAACCCAGAGGAATAATTTAATTCTATGTCGATATCAGGTAAGAGTACATATTGAAAGCTGGTGTTCTTGGAGGTTCTCACCTGTTTTTTCAGTAGCTGCAGTTTATCTGCCAAGCACCTGAATGAGTTAAATGGAATTCCAGTGTGCTTGTAGAATTTGAACTTTGGGGTGGATATTGGTATGAATTCCGCAAGGACAGATTCACTTGCACATGTATATACCTTCAATACAAATTATTAAATGTTCAAATAACAAAAAACCTGACAAAATAAAGTTTAACCTCAATGTAAGAGAGTACTAGAACCTGTTGTCTTAAGCTTTTTTTAATGAAAAAATCACTTTTTTTGTTTTAAAAAAATCACTTTTGAAAAATTTTAAATATTTGTTTAAGCTTTTAAAACTAATCAGAATATTATTTGAAAAAAAGCAGATTTCTGATTATTTTGAAAAAGTTACTTTGAATAACCTCTGAAAATAATCAGATACAATAATGACAGAGAATGCCATCAAAATACGGACATACATGGAGATAACAAAAAATTTAAAGATAACTAAATAATAAATAATTTTTCTATTAACAGAGATCCAAAGAGATATCATAAAATCTGAATCTGAAAATCACTAAAATAATATCTTACTATTGTAACCAAACACAGAATTTCTTTTTTAAAATAAAATCTCTAAATCACTTTTCGTAACATCTCTAATCTCTAAACCATCCAAAAATCACTTCTTCTTCTTCTTTTTAAGTTTAAACAAACAGGCCGTAGTCCTGCAAAAATATACTCTTCTAAATACATTGTCAAGTGATAACATCTTTCTAGCAATGTAAACGTTCCTGTACAAGTAGATATATAACAGCATAAATTTTTTGCATATAACAAGAAAGGAAAAAATTCAAACACAAACCCAAGCAACAATTCTATTTTGTATTTTAGTACCCATAGAACTCAAGATGTCAATTTACATCCGTGATAAAGAGACAGATGGGATGAGAAAAGAATTTAATGTTTATGGGAACAGACGTGGCAGAAATTGATAGGTGTAATTGAAGAAGTTGGAAAAGAAGGGACACATGAAGTTTGTCACAAGGGGAATCACGTAGAAGAAGAGGGAAGTTCCAAGATGGAAGTAAGTCAGACTCAGTCACCATGTAGAAAATAAAGAAAAAATGGAATTTAGAGGAAGCATGGTTAAGGTATTTTTAAGGCAGATGGTTTAGGAGATATCTAAAAGTCCTGAACTTCTATAACCTATCTTGTCATTTGCTTGTTCAGATTGCTTTACAATTGCCTAAAGTCTTTAATTTTTATGCTGGACAACATTGGACATTTTATCTAATTTTTCTCAGTAGTTCGGTTACTTTCATTCCAAAATTGTCAGTATCTACAAGGATAACATATTTCCTAGAGCAAAAAGACATACATTAAAGCTAGAAATTAAGAAAACAACTAAAAATTAAAAAATGGAGAAAAATAATGTAAAAACCTTAGAATGCATTAGGCTCTCAAGTTCAGCAATATTTTTCCACAGAGTCAATTCAGAATTCCCACCTAGTTAAAATATTAGAGGCGAACAAAAGGTAAATTTGACATTAGAAAATCATAGAAAGTGCTGAGTAGGAAAATACTGCCAATTCAATGAGATAATAGAACTTTCTTTGGGCCTACAAACCTTTCGATTTAATAGGAGATGCTGTCATCCCAAATATTCTGGGGAGCTCAGAACTATTAGATTGCAATTGAGGATGATAAAATTCCTGCATGAAATCAAATTTTCAAATTGCAAGGAATATAAGTTTTCCAAATGCCACAACCCCAAGTTGCAATGCACAATGAGATAGAAACTTGACCATAGATAAATGCATCGGCAATCAAACAAAATATCTTTTTATACAATTTGACAACAAAAAATATTTAATAGTACTGAACATCACTGACAATTATTCTCAGGTTTAATTAACTGAGAAATTTAGTGCTCTAGTAAAATTTTTTAAGGCAAGTGTCACGGATTAAATTAATGCAGCTATTCAATAGCATAACCACACAATACGGTTTAGCATTTATGATTACAAGTTACAGACTATTGCTACCAAAGAATAACCTATATACAAGTAAATTCTCACTGCAGGATTGTGATTATTGAAAGACTGAAAGACACGCCAGCAAAATAAAAACAGGGGAGGCACTTACAGTCATGATGCACGCATAAGGGTCTCTACCCCTAGCGTGATGGCATTCATCCATTATTAAGACCTTTATCATATTCAGTTTGAAAAAGCTATGCCTCAAGCCAGACAGCAATATTGCAGGAGTCATAACAAGTACCTGTACAATCAAAACCACTACTGTCGATAACCATATCTTACCTACGTAATATGCAAAGACAAATCAGACACATTGTGCTAAGAGTAACTAACAATAAATGGATACTGAGGGCAACTAATCCTCCAAATGGGGAAAATTACATATTTTGACTATTTGAATTCGTCTTTTGCATACAACAGCATACCCCTGTGCCAAGTAAAATGCTTGCCATGCTGCACATAGTCCATTTAGTATGCGGGCAGGACTATTTCGAGAGACAAGAGCAGACTGCTCATAGCCCAATTAGTAAGTTTTAATTTGATTCTAAGCAAATGTGGAAAATAATCACCTCGTGTTTCTGCATTTCTACTTTCCATGTTGTAGCATCCCAATAGTCGATTCCCATGTCTCCCCAGTACATTCCAACTTTCAAATCGGTGTGCATTTCCACAGCTTCAGCTTGCTGTCATTTCAGGAAGTGAGGAGTAAGTAAAACTTAGTCGGAAGAGCGTTTATCCGTTGTATAATTTCCCAATCAGCAATACTGGATGCGGGACTACAGTTTTGAACCATAGATTTAATGCTATTATTAGAAGTGCAAACAAAAGAGCGTTCTTGAAAATTGAAATTTTTAGTGGTCCCATGATAATGGAAGTCGATCAGAAAATGTAACTTCACGGAAGAAGAAAGAGAAAGAAAGATTTGCATACTTGTTTAACCAAGACAACATGCGGAACCAAAAATACCGCGACGAAAGGGGAAGGCTTGCGAAGAAGATATGCATAACTTCGAAGAAGCATGATCGCTATCAAAGTTTTGCCAGAACCAGTCTCCAAGTACACGATGGTGTTTTGACCGACGGCTTTCTCCAAAGCTTCCAACTGATAACTGCAGAAGACGAAGCAGAAACAGTTAACAAACAATTATAACGATATTAATCGACTCAATTGAAGAGAAGTATTAACTACCTTCTCGCAAATGGAAGAGGATCGGCTGAACCATCTATCTCCATGGCTTCTCTCTCCAATCGCAAATCGAAATCACAGAATGCAGGTCCTAAATCTGAAGAATCGAGGGTGAGCCAATGAGAGAAGGCAGAAGCCAAGCATAAAACAAAAAGCTCACAAACTACACTATAAATACTACACTCGCCAGTCACTCCTTCTTGAGCAAGTTAACTTTCAAACTAAGGAGGCCCCACAAGTCAGAGTAGTCCTTGGGGATTCCGGACGCAAGCGAATTTAGTTTTTCTCTGTCGCATAAACAGCTGTTTACGTCATAGCCTCTATAGTTTTTCTCCGGTCATTCTTTCGTATTCTGAAATCAAGTCCCAGACAAGCAGGTATTGGGCAGTAAAAGTAAACATACATAAAATATAAAAATATTCTTCCTTTTTAATACAGAATTGTATGATCCACCGAGGATAATCCAACAATTTGTGATCTAATATATACATATATATACTACCTCCGATCCTAATTATAAAAGCCAGTTGACTAATTTAAGGAGATTAAGGAAGTAAGTTGAGTTAGTTATTTGTCTTAAATAGATGTTGTCTTTCCTAAAATATCCTTGCTAATCAAGTGTATTGACTAGAACTATCATTGTTAGAAAGGTTATTTTGGAAAAAATGTATAAATATAAGTGACAAAGTGGAATGGAGTCTTATATTTATGACCAAAATAAAAGTCAAACAGGGTCTTATATTTAGGATCGGAGGTAGTATATCGTTAATAGAGTTAAAATATTTGAATAATATTTCATTATTTAATTAGACATACATAAATTTTTTCTTTTGCAACTATTATATAATAATGATTATTAAAAACATTTCTATATATTACCCAGAATCTAAAAATGAGGTGCGTTACATTATGGATCTGTGTATATATTTTGAGACAGACAAGGAATATCCCCCACTCACAATAATACATCTTTCAAAATACTTAAAATGGCAGAGTATTAGATCCTATTATCTAACTAGTGTGCTCCAAAATGATTGCGTGAATATTGTGACTTAGTAAAAATGTTATTATATATATGGATTAAAGTGTAAATTTGCTTCAGAAATTTTCATTCAAAAATGTTTGGGTAGATAATTTTTTTTATGGGCAAGTTTTTTCCTAAATGTTAAAAATCATAGCAATTTTGCTTTCTATCATTAAAAATATTAATGATTATGTCACTATTTTACCGGTCAACGTTAATATTTTAATAATAAGAGATAATATTGCTAGGATTTTAGACTTTCAGGTCAAATTTGTATCAAAAGAAACTCTCATATACCTAATATTCCTATATAAAAACTTTTTAAATATTTTGTACCTCAGTCTCATATATATGTATGTGTGTGATTGATTCTTGGGAAAATGGGGATTTATCCCAATTTGCCAACCAAGTATATTTGATGCAAGCTCAATATTGTTAAGTATTGTTTTAGTCTATTAAATAAGGTATTTTTAGCATATTTCACATTGATTAAAAAAATTTTAAATTGTATTAACTCGCTATTAAAATATAATAACTTTTCAATTGTATCTCTATTTGATATATATACTTTTAAAAGAAATAGCTATTTGTATTATAATAAATAAATGACAAAATAGTACATTCATACTAAAAATTTAATGAAATAGTTTATAAATAGGATTAAGAAAAATCTTTTCTCCACTTTATAAACACTTATAAACAGGATCAGAAAAATAGTCCTATCAGAATTTCAAGAAAAATGAAAGGGTAAGAACAATAATCGAAGAAAAAGGGTTATATTTTGTTGTGAATAGCTCTCGAGAAATGTGAGAGGGGTGATAGACAGATAAATGTACATGGAAATCCGAACCATGAATTGTTTTTAGAAAAATGTTTAAAATATCAATGTTTATATTTAGGAAGAATTACAATAAGGTTCTAAATAAAAAAAATAATTGAAAAATAAATTCTAGAAGTTGTCATTCTCATTATAAGACTTCTCATTATAGGTTGTTGAGGTTGTTATTTAGACTTTTTGATAATTATTTCTCTTCTATAAAACTTGATTGTAATTTTTCTTTATATTTATTAGAAATCAATTTTTAATGAATCAATTCTCTTTGATCGGAGTGCTAAGATAATTGACGATTGACGGGCAGTTAATTAATTGTGGATAGTTAATTGATTCATAATTGTTTTAAAAAAAAAAAAAAGAGCAATACTACTTCGGATTCATAATATAAGAATTTATTTGATTTTTATTTTGATAATAAATATAAGATTCCAATTCATCTTATCTCTTATATTTAATTTATTCATTTTTTCTTAACATGGTCCTTGTAATAATAATAGTTTTAACTAATATACTTGATTAGTAAGAATATTTTAAGAAAAACAATACATATTTATTTAAAAACTAACTAAATTAATTTATTTAATCTACTTAAATTAATTAATTAATTAACTAAACTAATTTACTTTATTTATTTAAATTAGTAAACTAACTAATTAAGTTAATTTAATTAATCTATTTAAATTAGTTAACTAATTTATACATTAAAGAAGACGTAGAATGTCACATTAAATAAATGCGAGGGAGACATATTTTTGTTGGAGAGACAAGTGACTCTACAAATTACCGAGGAGAGGGATACGGAATCTTTTGATGCTTGCTTTCTAGTTTTCCTTTCTCTTACTTGATGTCTAGTTTGTTTGAGACCAAAAAAAAATTGCCTAGTTTGCTCTTTTTTTTTGTCTCTTTTGTTATTTGTTCTTTTTTTTAATTTTCAACTAGATACTGCTGAACCCCATGCATTGCACAACTTGTCGAAGCAAGACTTTTTTTTATTAGAAGAATTAATTATTAAAATGTTTTACATTAGAAGAACTCACTATTAGTGCTTGTGTGTCAAATCAAAATGACATTTTGAAAAACTTCACTGGAGACAATATTTATTGTTCGGTTTGTTGGCTTTTTTTCTATGTCTAATACTAACACTTTCAAGTCCACAATATTTTTTACCTTTAATAGTGCCACATTCAATTGTTGGTAAATAAAACCCTACCCTTTCCATTAATTGTTTTTGGCTTTTGTTAATTGTCATTGCAAATGACACCATTACTAGAACTTGTCTTCTAGTTGCTTGAAATGGAAGCCTAGATTCTGATAGGTTAAGATCCCTTCTGTGAATTAATTCTTCTTCATCCTTACTTGTCCCACTTAATGTGATTGCTTTGATGAAATACCTTCCAAGTAAGGTAATTTGCAATTTTGTTTCATTACACAAATTGGTCAATATTTTTTAAAAGTATTATTGGAACGTCAACCTTTAACCATACACATGCGGCGGAATTCCTGAGTAATCACTATGTTCAGAAATTATGTTGTGTACATCTCTTGCCACATAGCCTCTTCTTCCTGTATTTTATTTATGGAATCCAAGCTGTAATATTGGACTACTTCTTCCTCCATCTCGAATGAAATGTAGTTATTTAGGCATTTCACTATTTCCATTGTTTCTATTGTGTGAAATATATTGAAAGTGTCTTATAAATAGGACCAGAGATTTAAAGCTTATAAATAGTACTAAAGAGAGTATATTTTAAGTATGTTTTTTCTTTCTACTTCCCAAAAGTTCTAACCTTAACTTGTTAAAAACCCAAGTCAATCAATATTTTTCTATTTATTTGTTTACTTGTTATTTTTTCCTCTTTCCATGAGTTTCACTTTTATCCTGTCAGAAAACGATTCAATCATTACTTTTTTGTTTACTTATTTACTTGTTAATTTATTTTCAAAAAACTAAAAACTAAATTACAGTAATTAATGTTATTTTGGGGAGTTCAAAGCTTGATTGCGTCATTCTTTTCAAAACGCCAATTGTTATCCTAGTTTCAAAATCTAAAATATTAATTTCAAGAGCACAATAGCATCTTTGGTAAAAACACTGATAACAATTAACAATCTGATTGAATCTATTATGAATATAATAATATCTTTTTGGATATCCATATATCTCCCATTATCTCCTATATTTTCTATAATCTCTAATATCTCTCATTATCTCTATATCCACAATTATCTCTTATTAATATGTAATCTGTAGATTCTATTAAAAGTGTAAAATTGTGCCTATAAATAGGGGCCATGTATAATGTATTGAGTACTCTTGAATGGAATGAGAAATACTCTTTCTTATTGATCCTCTCTTCCTCTGTATGATTCTTCTCTATTTTTTCTTTATTCGTAACACGTTATCAGCACAAACTTCTAACCAAGGTACATATGATATACTTTTCTACCCCATCATAATTTTAGAGCATCATTTTTATTATTTTTCTAGAGCATCATTTGCTCTGTTCAAATAAAAATACCTCGAGCATCATATATATGGTGTTTTAGAGTATCCGTATTCCTATTCAATTTATCTAGGATAATCTAAGCCATTATATAGAATTAAAAGGATTATCTACCGTTGTTTTAAATATCAGGTTCCATTGCTATAATTGGAGATTTTTTTTCCTCCTCTATTTCTTATTGACCTGACGTCACTATTTCGAAGGAACCCAAAGTTCCAATAGATACTAGCAGTATCCGTAAAGATTTACCATCTAAAGTTAAATGACCAGAAAACATATCATTCTAAATTTTCATCTCATTGTAATTAAATGGCTAGAAGCCATATAACTCAGATTTTTCATTCTTTTCAAATTAAATGGCTAAAAGCCATATGATTTTGATTTTCTATATTATAGTCAGAAGCTATACAACTTTGAGTTTTTATCTTATGGCTAGAAGCCATATATATATATATATGGGGTTAATTCTCTATTTTCTTAAATGACTTGAAATCATATATATTTGATATTTTATCTTATTAAATAACTAGAAGTATTTAGGTATAAATTTTCCATCTTATGGCTAGAAGCCATATATATTTGATTACTGTTATCTTATTAAATGGCTAGAAGCCATGTAATTTGAATTTTCTATTTTATGGCCAGAAGCCATATATATATAATTTTGTTTTATCTAATTAAATGGCTAGTT